GGAAAATGGTGGTCTCGACCCAGAGGCAGTGCATTACAGAAAACTTGTGTCCATAGTTCTTGATGGTATCTTCCTTGGCGGCGAGTGCAAGGTCCTTGTTGGTAAGTTTTGTCTTCTGACCTTTTGAAAGAGTGGCCTTGAGGAGAGCGTTCTTCTTCAGACCCTCCCGGTACTTTCCTCGCATGTCTAGAAGTAGCCTTTGTGCAAGTTTGAGTGCCTATTAGAGATGATTGATCAGCTACTGTTGTTTAATTCGTTCACAAAATAAAGACTTGCCTTACAAAGATCTTCAGCTGACACATTGAGAGGAGGTGCTGCAATTGCAGCACAAACACGCAGTAAATCTGAATCGTCAATGGACTGGTCACTGTCAGAATCTGTCGAGTCAGCGCTGGAGCTGCTATCTATGTTCTCAATATCTTGAGTGAAGTCTTCGCCTTGGGCTTGCTGAGGCATGGTGGTTTGGACTCAGAGAATGTAGAGAGCAAGCTGGAGACATCATGATCAGTTGCGCACACTTTAAATTGGCGCTGTTCAGGTAGCATCAGACCCTGTGGATGTAATAAGGTGGAAGGATAACATGTACCCTTATCAGAAACATAATATAACCATCGTGTATCCACAATTAATGAACAGTCGACCTCATGCTTCCAAGATCCCTGAGCAGCAGAAGAGGATAATGAAAATGGTAGATGTGTAGAGTATGTACCATTGATGTAAATAACCTTGGATGTGAGCATGACAGCGGAGGCGAAGAAATAGTGACCCGAAGATCCCCGAGTGGTGAGAAAGGGTGTGTTCAATGGACAAGATTGGTGAAAGTGGTGGAGGAGTGGAGTTTTGTGCGGGGAAGGGGTATGCGATGCGATGAAATGCAGGAGCTTGACTTGGGAGTGGTGAGAAAGCGCACGTTCAATTGCTGGAGAAGGACTTGAGCTGCAACAAAAGTGACAGATGAGTATGAGGAATGCTCAGGGCATTCCGAAAGGAAGAAGGACAAGCTGGTATGATTGGGCTGTGAACTGCAGGAAGTGGAGGAGGACAAGGACGGTAAAATACCTGCATATGAGAATGTCTTCATCCTGTGCTGGAGGAGGGAATTATAAGCTAAATAAGGTTCCTTTGGACACGAAGAAACATGTCAGTATCCACATAGTCGACAAGAAAATAATCCCCATGGTTGTCAAAATCTGGGACAAGTAAAGCCCCGTGAATAATTGAATGAAGAGTGATAAATTCAGATGAAGCTGCGGGCCATGCACGTAGATGAGTTAGTTGCAGGTCTTGATCTAGGAGGCGCCAACGTGGTGAAGCATCCATGGGAAGAACCAAAGCGAGATCTAAGGTGCGCTTGCCGACAGTATGCTTGAACACGAACAATAACTTGACAAAGATATTTTTATCATTGCCGTCCTTGTCCTGGGTGTGGATTAGAGCGCAGTCACGACGCTCGTGGCCATGAAAACTTGGACTGCATTGCAGATAGTCGGTGGCCAACTTCCAGGTAGTAGTAGACTCATAGTGGACTTTGAGGTAGCAATGTTCATGAACCTTTTGAAAAAAAAGTGTCAGAGATTCAATTAACACTTCAGAGTGAAGGAAACTCACCTGGTCTTGTGGTGAAATTTTCAACCACCTTATTCCATCTGGTAATGGTATGTGGTGGGAGGGCAGGAAGTGATTCAGAAATGTCACAAGCTTCTTCCTGAACTGGTCAAAGGCGCGATTTGACCTGTTGTCTTCCTCCACTTGTGCTAGGCTGGTAAGATTCCTAAGGGGTGAACCAATATGCAGGTGAGCTTCAAATGGCTCGTTGTCGTGTCAGTCCTCTTCTTCAAGTGCTTCCTGTGAGAGTGTGAGTTTATGTCGTTCCTCATCAAGAAACACAATACGGCTGCGAATGAATTCAGCAACAAAGCTCTTATGATCAAGTTCAAGTATCTATGATATATGTGAAGTTGAAGTTATTGATGGGAAGCAAACTTCTTCCAGAGTTGGCGATGACATACCTGATTAGCAATATCCTTACGATTGGTCTGCTGTAGATACCAATGCTTGATCAGTTCGTGCTGCTTCTCGTTCGGTCTAGTACTGAAGTTGCGGGCGGCACCTTTCATGATGATGTCATCAAAGATGTGCTTTGAGGTGTGCATCTTGGGAAAATTCCAATTCTTTCATCACATCTGGATCAGGTCTCATTGATAATTGCCATGTACTCCTATTTCATGTTTGAATAAATACTATTGTCAGTATACTACATTGACATGAAACACAGAATCAACATAACATACCTCTAAATGCGTCTGAAACTTCAGAACCTCAGCTTTTCCTGCTTCGATTGTGCTTGTTGTGTGCACATCGAGTGACACATACATGTTGATATGGAGGTAGCTAGCTATGCACCGTAGAAGCTCATAGCCAGCTTCATCATCTGTGCGTGTCAGTACATTCTGGGCAGTATATAAGATTTGCTATCCGAATCAAATATGAGTAGTCCAGTCAATGAATATCTAGCTGTCAAATCAACATGCCATACCTTGGAAATGTCCCTGAAGTTTGTTACTGTCACTGTAGGTAATGTTAGTAACTCAATCAAAATGATTCAAATTGTGCCAGCATGTGAAGGCAGCAAACCTGTGGGCAATTAAGGAGGGTTTAATTAGTCTGATTCAGATAGCGAGCATATTAGATAAATCAACTCACTGGTTGTCAATCTTCTTCTCTGCGCTGCATCCCAGAGCTGCTGCATGTCGTTTGAGCTCGCCAAATAAATGTTTCCCCCATTCCCGTATATGATACACATGGAGGTGGTCCTGCAAAATCGTTTCGTGAGGGTTGGAATTTGGGATCTGCCAGAAGACATTCTATAAGGAAAAAAGTCAGATTCAATCAACGCTTATAGGATATAATGGGCACCAACCATAACTGGCCGCAGGCCCTGTTATTTTAATGCCTCTTCTCCAGCCGTTTTGTCCCTATTCCACAGTTCTACGCAAGCTTGTGCATCTTTGGGCAATCAGATTGGGTAAGTAGAGGCATTGTCATAGAGCTTATCCGATGGGATAAGGCAGATAGGACAGGGGCAATGACAATTTGTCCCCCGTATCAGCGCCATGACACATCTAGTATTGACCAATCAGAAAATCATCGACAGAATTAGTAGACAACGTACTGTTCTTCATAGTCAGCAGATAAGAGCAAAATGAACACATACAACCACCTAACGATACCATCATAACAGAGATATGCATACCCTGTCTTGGCGTAGAGTATTATGGTTTCGAGTAGCTTGAGAAACCCCTTGTGCCATACAATTCATTTGAGGTTCACGTATGTCAGTTTGCCATCCTCTTCGGAATCATCAGGAACCTATGCAAAAGAGTCACAGAAGCAATGAGACTTTCCATTAGATTTAATAAATATGTACTATCAGTAGCCAACCAACCATCCGCCCACCACCAAGCCCGTCAGTATTTCTGATGTGAACAGGGTAAGTTCCCACATCGAGCGAAGACCAGGTAAGCTTTGACCGTGCCCATGGAAGAAAGATGTGTCTTGTCTGCGTACAATATGAATGCAAATGGTACGCCATTTTCAGGTAAAGACGACTATAATACAACATGAAAGTAAGGGTATTGAATGACAGTACAAAAAAAATAAGTCATACTTGGACGTTCCACCAATGATCCGCAGTCCAAGGTTCATGAAAGAAATGCTCGTAATGTGTCCCATCGTGTTTATACAACTGCTGTGCATCCCAAACAAAGTGTGGCGCCAGTAATGGGTCCTGTAATAAGTCCAAGGCCCGGTCCCACAATGGGCGTGTATATACATCAAATGGGAGGTCCTCCCGTTTATGCTGGACAGTGATAGTATGTTTTTTGAACTGTAAAAATATTGGTAGCTACAAAGGGGAAACATGATGTTCTCCTCTTACAGGTGTCATCTGACCAGCCGCCCTGTCCCAGGCGGAAGAAACATCGCGGTGGGACTTGAATGTGAGTTTTGCTTGACCATTAGCAATTCTCCAGATGAGCCGCAACAGCTCATCCATGTGGTCCTTGTTCAGGGCAGCATTGTGTGCAAGTTTGGCAAACTTGAAGTCTGCACGACAGCTGAATGGCTGCCAGGGTTCTTTGTCGACAATGGGCGGCTGTTGGTCTTGCTTGCGTCCAAATGCAGAGAAAGTCTCTATAGAGGTTGCGCAACCAGAATGTGGATGATACTCCATCTTGAATGTATCAAGATCAGAGTGAACCGAAGGTACTGCTGCAAGCGAGGGCAGAGTAGGTGGTGTGGGACCGTGAGATGCCATGCTGGAATCTGAATCTGCACCTGAATTGTGAAAACATCAAATGAGTATAAGCGCATCATGAATAGTCAAAATACATACGCTGTTGTGAGTCTCCACCAACACTCATTGCATCAACCATATCTGATCCCATTTCAAATGATGGGCCTGCGATAAAGTCATCGGGCACATTCTCTGTGCAATCCTGGAGTGGGTCTGACATGACATGTGAACTAGTATTAGTTTGTCCCTTGAGAAGGCGCTTTCTCTTTCGACGCGCCTCTGATGGTTGGATTCAGACATTGAGGGTAATACATACTTGCATCCCCCATTTTCACTTCTGTTCAGCGCCATACAGGAATATTACAGGGAGAATATGAGACAGAAAGGCCCGAAGACGTGGGAGGAGGCAATACTGAGTAGAGAGGCGACAATATCAGATCCAAATCCTTACCGGCAATTTCCGAACTCAGTTTAAATTGAATCATTGATGTGTGCCCGCTTGGAAGCAACTTGGAAGTGCCAAAAATATACTATAGTCCTTGTAAGTGACAACACTGACGAGGTGATTCCTTGCAAGGACCTTGAAATAAGTCACACCCCCTGGGAATACGGATGCAATATAGTTGTCAGGCACCTAAGAGCCAGTTCGTCAATGAGATGTTGACAAACATCTGGCAAAATAACATCATGTGCAAAGGTTGTCAGCTTGGGCCATCCCGAGGGTCAGAACTTGAAATTTGAACCTTGCTTCATGTTTCACCTATACATTTTATCATCATGAATTCGTATCCCTTGGACGATCAACATCGTAAACAGATCTGCACTTGGGCGGCCACTATTACCGCCATCTGTGCCCATTATACAACTGTTCTCATGGCCCAACCAGTTCAGGCTGCCAACAAGGCACAATGGAATGACCTCAAGATTAACGCGCTACTCGACTACCTGATCATAAATCGTGCAGAGGGTGGTGATGGAGGAAATTTTCCACAGGAAACTTTCAACAAAGGGGCAGCTTTCCTGAACGCTAATGAAAAACTTGAATCAGTGGGGCCACTGAAGACTGGGAAGAAGGTGAGGACTAAGTGGACAATGGTAATATGTTATCTTGATCTTAATCTATTACGAACTGATGGTTGTTTTTAGCTCAAAAAAACATTCTCTAGCATTGAGATGTACCGCAACCAATCAGGTTGTCACTGGGACAACAACACGGGAGCATCAGATCGAAGGTACAGACGCGGGAGTTGTGTGGAAGGCCTACGTTGATCAGCAGGTAAGCTATCATGATTGTACATGTCTCATATACAGGGACTGATTACAACAGTGTCATGCTTCGGTGCGTCCCTTCCGGAACAAGGGCTGGGTGTTCTATGACAAGATGCTGGAGATCTTAGGGATGAACAGCGGCGCTTGTGGAAGGCATGCCTTCTACCCTACCTCTGCAGGTCCACCCCCCACCTCATCAGCCAATGCACTCGAAGCTGAAGAAACAGGGCATATTATTCCAACAGCTGCCAGCATGGGTCCCATTGGGGACGCTGTCAGCGCCACCCCACATGCAAGTGAGGACGTCATATTCCCACCTAGCACCATCATCCATGAACCTCCTCTTTCCACTGTTACTACAACCTCTCAGTCCTCCGGCAACAAGCACTTGCGCACCGACACTTTTCTATTCAACTCTACTGACTCAACATCTTACGCCTCTACGGCTGCTCCAACTAGTTACTCTGACTGTCCCCAACTATCATCCCTCCCACTCTCCTTGACCCTGGTGTCGTCTGCACAACCAGCCATAAAGAAGGCCCGTGCATCCAGACACAGTGGTCAGGAACTCATGAGCAGTGCTGCCAGGGCAGCCAAGATCACCCCTGCAGCCTGTCATATACCAGATCCGACCGCTCCGATACTGATATCCGCCCCACTTTCCAACCCCCTCCGCCCCATCCATCCTCCGCTCCGCTCTATCACAAAACCCGCATTCCGCCCTACACTTCCACTCAACCGCTCAACTGGTCCCCTTCCATAAACCTCTCCATTCAACTGGATCCCTTTCCCCTTTAGACATATACTTTCCCCTTCGGTACATAGACTCTTACTCCCGGATCACCGGTAATTCCTTTTACCGCCCGATCGCTGATCTGATGCGTACATATTGATATCCACTCCAACTTATGTCTTCACCTATGTAAAGTACTTACAAACTATATCCTTGGTACATAGCTTTACTACATAGTTATCCTGATCACTGCCTCACATAGAAGTATATAACATATCCTGTACTTAGATATTTTTCCTTAGTCTTAATATTACTTGTCTTCTCGCAGTTACCTCTTGTGGGAATTCTCAGTAGGACCTTGCCTCCTCTGGACACAAGTCTCAACTTGTTGTCACCTCTGACCCTCCGACCCTCTGCTCTGACTTAGAGCCGTGCTCTAAGTCTTTCCCTTATTACCCCGCCCCTATCAATATCCTCCTATCACCCCTTTTCCTATCCTCTACATTATCCTTCCGCCATCTCCGCTCCTATCAAATATCCCCCTGGTTTCTACCCACCCTCCGCATCGTTCCCCACCTTCTCCGCTCCGCTCCTAGTCGGTCCGCCACTAGCAGCTCTTACTTCCCGACCCTCAAAGCAGACCTAAGCGGTCCACTCGTCCTATCGTCGGACAACGTCGGATCCGCTCCAAATTCGGGGCACATACTTGGCTAAGGGCGCAGCGCAAGAGCTGAAGCCAAGCCCCAACCCCTCTGCCTCCTGAGCCGGCATGGTACCTAACACAGCCACTGTCATGGGTATGCAGGGTGCAATCAACTGCCTGACTGATGTTCTTGAGAAGTCATTGACTACCCCATCCACGTCTTCTGCACCATCACTCAATGCCAGCACAAACACCGTGACTCATGCCTTGGAGATTATGCGTATCCAAGATGGACATCTGTCGGTCATGGAGAGAGCAACGTTGATGCAGATCTTCAGCTGTCAGGGAAATGAGAATACTCTTGCTGCTTACATTTTGCTTGATGGGGACTTTGAGACACATTCTCAATATATCACCTTGCTCATGGCGAAGCCGTAGATATCATGTACCGCTCGTGTTGTGTTTAACATGTCTCATACTTGTAACACCATGTAGTTCCTATATCATGTACCGCTCGTGTTGTGTTTAACATGTCTCATACTTGTAACACCATGTAGTTCCTATATCATGTACCGCTCTCATATCATGTCGCTCGTACACTCATATCATGCCGCTCATATCATGTCGCTCATATCAATGCAATCGATTTCGCGCAAGTGCCAGTTACATGTACTCGATGTCGTCTATTCTAGAACCGACCCAATCCATCCTCCTCATCCTCCAATAAAGCCTGGTCTGATAGATCATTGTCCGAACCATCTTCAAGAACACTTCTTTCTTGCAAAACTCGCTGATAATCTAACCACATCTGCTCCGCAATGTGATCACGAGATGCATGAACATCTGCATCAGCAGGTTCATGGTCATCTGCTACCGCCGGTTGCTCCCAGTCTCCAGTGCACACATCACCAAGGTCATTGTCTGCATCAACAGGGATGGGGCCTTCTGTAGGGTCATGGAAATGGATAAAGTTATGTAGGCTGCACAAAGCGGTGGGGATCTGTGCCTGAACCTCCATAGCATATGACAGCGATAGAAGGAGAATGCAGAAGCGCTGTTTCAAGACACCAAAGATGCGTTCGATGACGTTGCGTGCTGACGCATGATGCAAGTTGAATAGTTCTTTTTTGTTAGCTGGTCTGTAGGCAAAAATTAGTATGCTCCAGCGGCTGAAAAAAGAAATCTCACCTTATGCTTGCATGGCCCCACTCCGTGAGGTGGTAGCGGACACCACGATATGGTACAAGTAACTCAGGCCGTAGAGGAAAGCCAGCATCTGCGAGAAAGTACTTTCCTGGAGGTATGCGAAGGTCATGAGCACAGGCATCTGTGGCCAACCCTTCCCAGCCAGTAAGCACATATGTAAAGTTCATCCCGAAGTCACAAGCAAAGAGACAATTTTGAGATACAGATCCCTTGCAATTATGATAAGGCCTGCGTTCAAACGCACGAGGTGACGCGTGAATATGGCTTCCGTCGATGGCCCCAACGGTATCCTTGAAAAATGGCCAGAACTTGGGGTTCTTGCGAATTTTGCATGGAATAGATGCATCCAGCAAGCGAACATATTTCGAATAGATGTTATGACCGATGTCCAACAATAATGTTGAAGGTGAGTGCACAACCACTAGGACTCGGTCTGAGATGACAATGAGCAACAGGAAAGATTGAGCATGAACATCTAGGTCACTACAACAGTAGAAACGAAGAGGTTAAGTCTAAGGAGCACTTATGCTAACTACCCTACTCTTATACATAACATTAAGTAGGAGTCTGAAAGAAATCAGCCAATGAGAAAAGAGTCATACAATGCTGCGGATGACTGAGCATGACATCATGATATATAAGCAGATGAGTAAGACGGCAACTAAACAGAAACCCAAGTTCTGACCAGTTCTCCTTTGGGAAGCGAGATTGTTCTAGCCCGTGGAGTAGGTGAGCCAATCGGAGAAGCAACGGGTGACCTATGACGAGGAGTCACGTGACCGGCTCGGGTACTGGAAGTAGCCGAAGGAAAACCGAGAAATGAAAAATGGTTCATATTAGGAATTCGTGACAATAGAAGGGGGGGATGAAAAGATAAAGAGCATCCTGCGAAAATAACTATGTACAATGAAATATAGCGTGCAATTAAAAATATCACCCTCACCAAGATATAGTCTCATTCGAGTGTTGAAATCTTTCACCAGTGTGTCTGATAGGTAAGCCCGTGACTACTGCGTAGAGGAAAATTGCTAGTTGTTCCTCTAGCGAGATGAACTTGGAGTCCGTGTGCCCAAGGGTACGAATCTCTGAGATGAGTTCTGCGAAGACATGCGCATGTACGCCAAGCTCGCATTGTATACGCTCGGGGTGACCAGTTGATAGTTCTATGACCCATGCTTCTCCCGAGAGAGCAGATGTGTGATATGGTTCTGGATCTTTTGGATAGATTGAGTGTAAGATACTAGTTGTAGCGCTAATCAAGATGCTGATCAAAAGGATCATGTATCATATGAGACATTGCTGGACTTCAGGACAATGGGGCATGAACAGCAGGACATCCAATCGAAGATCAATGGGAGCAGGGACTGCTGGTAGAGCGTCCATTGTCAGGAATATACAGTACATACATTGTACTAGTACTGCGACGGCTAGATAGTAGTGGTACTCAAAACAACTTTTGAAACTCTTGAAACTTCGCTTAAACACCGGCTAAACGCTTTCAACTCACGGCTAAACGGCTTCAAAAACTTCGGCTGATGCACAGCGATTGAAAGTCAGGCTGGCATCGCTCGGCGGAGTTTTAATAACTATGCCTCCTTCTCGTCAACGTGTCCGTCGTTCTGCACGCCTCAAAACCAACCCTCTAGTGCGCTGCTCGACGGCGATGGGTGATAAAACTTCAAACTCTCGAGGATCGCTCAAAGTGCCTCCAGAGCAATCCGCACCCCGCCTAACTATTCAGTGGCAGAGCGACCATGCTCTCACTGATCTACTTGTTACTTATCTTACTACACACCCCACTGACTGCAGGATTCTATTCTACTCTGATGGGAAGAAAGCGATGTCTACTGCTGATGACGGTCCCTCAGGCTCAGACAAAGGACAGATTTACAGTACCCTGGCCAAACTAATCTTCACAAATCACCCCAAGTACGGTTACGCATACTCCATCAATGCAAAAAAATTCCGCGATGCAGTCTGCAAGCGCATTGGAATGTGAGTGCTTTCATTTTTTTTGTTCCGTTGATAAAAAATATTAAAATTCATCCAGTCTCAGGGGTAAATACAAGAAAATCAAGGCGTCTTTTGACAGCACAGGCGCTGGTGTGATACCAGCTGAGGGCATGCAAATGAGAAACTTATTGGGTGAGTCTTTGGTCCTGAGTTTCTGGTCCTCGGCTGATCAGTTGTTGTAGATGCGGCGCTGGCAGAGCTCCCATGGTACACGGAATTAGATGCCATTTGGCATGCTAATCCGTCCATGGCCACAAAAACCTACTCGTCAAAACCCGGCGTCAATCACACCGGCGCCTTATATTCCCTGATTCAATCACGTGGTGGGGGTGGTCCCCCCATGCAGTTTGACGTGCCCCCAGATGCACAGCATGTATATCCTGGTGCCAACACTCAGCCACCTCCTCACGCATATCCCGAGCACAACACCTATCCTTCCAGCACTCTGCCCCCACATTACGGCCAACAATACTATCCGAGGTATCCGCTAGCAACGCCGTATGCTGGGGGTTCACATGGTGATCCCTTGATCGATCCGGCGCTGCAACAACCCGCACCTGCTCCCGCACATGCTCCCGCTCCTGCACCCACACCTGCTCCCGCTCCCCCCTTACCCGCCCACCCCCCCCCCTACAATATGTCCCCTCAAATCCATCTTCCTGGCCTTCTGACGTCAGATGCTGACATCGACATTGCTGACGTGGACTCTCTCGACACCGGTGACCCATTTGATGCCCCCCTCGGAGACACCTTACATCACCTCGAAGGTGATGAGAGGGCTGATAGCTCTTCCAAAGTCGCAGGGAAGAAACGCCAGCTCCCTTCATCGCCATCTCCCCCTCCCAATGCTCCCAAACCATTCAATGTGCCAGAAAAATCCCCAGCGTCTGCCTACAACAGCCGCTCGGCGTTTCGCACACAGAAGCCACCAAGCCATGGAAGGCGACGCAACCTACCATTGGAGGTCTCGGTCAGCACATCAGCGCATTCATCCACAACACGCAACACTACCTCCTCGTCGGACTACCTTATGTCCTCGACCCCCCAGACTTCGCTTCCAAACAGCGGCAGGCTTGAAGAAGAAGAAGGCGAAGCCAGATGTGATGCAGCAGGTAGACGAGGTTAAGGATGAGCTCGCGTCTATGCACTCTGATGCGAATGTCAGCGCCACGATCACAAACACCATCGCTTCCTCGCGAAGCTCGAGGTGAAGAGTGAGCACAATCGCGACATCAAGAAGTACGAATGGCTTCGTGCTACCCGCGAGCATGAGACCTCCCAGGCCACTGTCAGCCATCAGCAGTCTGCAGGAGTCTAAAGATGCCGAGATTCGTCTACATGAGGTGGACATTCGAGTCCACGAAGCACATTCATTGGTGCTCGACAAGGAAGCGGAGAATCTTCGACTCAAAATTCAGTTCCATCAAATGATGCAGGCGAACAAGGGCCCGGGATCAGATGGAGGAGTTGAGTGAGTTGTTGTGTTGCTTATTTTGTTCTCATCGTCGTCGCGTCGTCTCGTCATCCCCGTCCATTGCTGCTGTCATCATGTTTCAGTTTATTGTTGTCACCATGTTGTTTTCATTGGACATATGTTTGTTGTTTTGTCAGTACTTCTTTGATTGATGTTACATAGCTATATACATTTGTTGTACAAGTGTTTTAGTAGTAGTACATGTTCAAGAAAGTATTGTGTCAGTGATCATCCTTCCCTGTGTTGTGCATCTGAGTGAGGACTGTTAAAAAGCTCATCCATCAACTTTGCACGGGCAGCTTGACCTAGAGTGCCATCATATGTCCTGTCACCAACTACTTCTTCACCATCTGGACCCTCAAACTCTTGATCAACAAAATCTTCCCCCTCCAGTACGAGCCCACTTGAGAGAACTCTCGTATGTTCCATCCTTCTTGGCAATGCTCAATTTCAAAGCGAATGATCATGTTGTGCAGGATGATGCAACACTTGATCCACTGCACAGCAAACTCAAGGTCTTTCTCAGCCTGAATCCTGAACCGTAGCTCTCGAAGGGACTGGAACCGTCCCTTCAAAACAGCAAATGTGTGTTCAACACTGAACACGAATCTAAATAAATGTAAATCAATGGAAAACCACTAAAAAAAAAATACCTTAGAGAGGTGATAATTGAATGTCTTCTGGTTCTTCGTCAGCCATCCATTGCGAGGCTTCTTGAAAGGGGCAATACACCATGGTTCCAATGGATAAGCACTGTCCGCCCAAACCCAATGACCATCTGGCAGAAGATCGGCATGCTCTTCATAGAGGCGAGTGGATCGAAAAGCGAATGCATCATGGACACTCCCAGGGTGACCTGAGAGAATAATCAACAATCAGGAGATTGTGGGGCAAGATGACTGCCTAGAATTAAATTAATTTTTGCACATGAGGATGAAAAAAAATGTTACCTGACAGCCAAGGGAATACTTGGACTTCCTATCATAGAATGTCTCACCATAATAACCAGGTTTTGTGAACAGATTCATAGTCGAGCCATCGATGGCTAGAAAGCCACCTTTCCACTCTGGACAGGTACGTGACTCGGTAAATTTGCGAGCCAGGTCAGCATCCTCAGAATTACCTGCTGGGAAGCAGATAAACTGATCATGGGCATCAAGTACCGCAATCATCACACGATTAGTGCAATTAACCACAGACCCTGACACTCACGCCTGCCCATTGAGCAACATCCTCAAGAGTAATGGCATTGCCATAGTGGCCTGCCCGATTCAGAAAGATGGCGAGCTGGATGGAGACAGGGAGCTGAGGATTGTTGGACTGGTTTTGGAAGATAGGGTGATCAGAGATATAATCGAGGATGTCAGTCAAAGATCTCGGGGTTGACACGAAGTTTCTGCCGAAACAAGTGAGGGCGGTGTTCTTCATGATGGACCAGCATGTGAAGCTGAGGTGCTTGTGGAGGAGGCTCGTCAGGCTTCTGGAGTATGCGGGCCCTCTTAACCTCATCACGAAGAGCATCAATGGTGTCTCGAAGCCTGTCGTAAGGCAAAGTGACATCATCAGAAGATACAGAACTAAAACTGGAAGAATCCGAAATCCCTGTCATAGGGGAAAGGGGGGATAGGGGGGAAGGAGGGCTAAAAGACAGACTGATTGTAACATCGTCTGAATCAGTAGTAGAAAGTGAGTCCTCGGAGCCTGGAATTGCTCTCAAAGTCCGACCAGTCATCTAGGATACCCTGATATTGCAACCTGGCCAAAGAAAGTGCAGCCTGATCCACGATATTCAGGAGCTCTTTACGTGTGGATTGACGAGGCATAGTTGTGGTGGGAGCTACAGTGGGTGTGGGATCAAAACTCCTATCTATTTGGTGCATATGTGACGCAGTTTTTTGGCGGAGTTTAAATTTTCGGAAAGTTCCGAAGTTTCGTTTCGCACTGAACACGCCGGTGTCGTTGCTGACCTCACCCTCGAACCTCGATGCTCATCCACAGCGTCGAGCAGGACACCATCAAATTCCCGGGTGTCATCCACCCAAGGTAAGTATTCCTTGCACCTCTCGCAAGTTGCACTAACATTCACCCTTATCTTACAGAAAATCTATTCTAGTTCAGATCCCACGCACGCCCCACCTGACCAGCGCCCCATCTCCGCTGGAAAGCATCGAAGATGGCCGTACTCTCGGCGCTTGATTTTGCGTCTCCACGGAGGCATGCAGATCTTCCTCCCGACACTTTTCCTCCCCCCCAGCTGCTCAGCATCCCCCCCTCCTCCCCTCGGCACTTATTTTGGTCCCTCCCGCGCTCCCTACCTACAGCTGATTTCATTCCCGCCCGGTGGCCTTGTTTTTTTACAATTTTTATTAATGCTTTCATTTGAAATACAAGTATGTTGGACCACTACTCTACCACTTTCCCCTATGTACATAGCACACTTTGAAAATCACAAGTGTCATTTTAAAGTCCGACTACATGCCGATGTGTGCCGAGCATATTTCTCTCGGACTTGCGCGCGTTCATTCAAACTTTTAGCAGGGAGTTGAAGGGAGTTGAACGCAGTTTAGCGAGATTTCAAGAATTTCAAAATTTGTTTTGAGTACCACTAGTATGTTCAAGTTCCGACCCTCGGGACGGCCCAAGCCGACAACCTTCGCACGTGATGTTATTTTGCCAGATGTTCGTCAACATCTCGTTGACGAACTGGCTCTAAATAATGTCCCAATATGGAACACTTGCAAGGCACCCCTGGAGATTTCCGACACTGTTGGGATCGCGCGGAGCTGGTGCGGTTCTCTGCGAAATTCTAAGTCAGTAGTGCGGAGTCTGCGGACTAGAAAATTGACGAATATGAAATTCGCTAGTCTCCCCTAGCCAGCCCTATATAGACGAAGGAAGATAGTCGTTCCTTGAAATTTGCAGTCCTTTCGAATCTCGCTCGGCAATGTTCAAGGTTCAACTCTGCAGCGCGATCACACCGCAGGAAAAGCTTCGGAAGCTCAACGAAGCTACATTATAGACCGCTCCAACCACTCCGACCGTCCCCAGAATTTTCCGTCCACCGCCCCGCGTGACGCGACTCGCGGACCTACCATCCTCCCCAGACACGCATTTGGCAAAGTTTAGTCAATCCTGTGCAGGTCCCAGGACCACTCGTGATCAGCTTAAATCTCTCAGAATTTCTTGTCACGCACGGGGTACTGACCACCCGCATCCCGTTTCGCGAGAGTGCAAGGGCGCCTACTGACTACAGTTCAAACGAAGCTATGATCCGTGACATCGCCAAATGTTTTCACTCGAATGGGGCAACAGTTCTCTCAAATACGGCGCTGGACCCTGGTTGTGCTGGACGCAATATTCATATCCAATCGGAGATCTTCTAGCTCCAGGAATTTCCATCGGTGGGCGCAAAGTCAACCTGGTGACTATTATGTACTGGTCCTCCGAGTCTCCCTTACTGCCGGATTCACATTTCCAGACTCCATCGCGACTCCACTGTGACTAATGTTCAATATTAAGATCGAGCTTAGCACCCCTCCTCAGTCATTCAAGGCTATCCTCGATTATAAAATGTTTTGCGCCGTATGCTCGGCATTCACTCGGCCCTAGGTGAGGAACCTCAGGGTCCTTCCAAGTACGCCCAGTCTGCCACCGACAAACGGCTCGGAGTCGTCTATCTATACGTAGGCAGGTCATCGCAGAGGTCAC